CACTGTGATTAAATCTTGCTCTACCCAACTCACTATTTGCCCTTTTTTTTCTTTCTTTCTTTTCTTTTCTTTTTTTTTGGTTTTTGTTTTGTTTGTTTGTTTGTTTGTTTGTTTTGGTTTTTTTCAAGACAGTTTCTCTGTAGCTTTGGAGCCTCTCCTGGAACTAGCTCTTGTAGACCAGGCTGGCCTCGAATTCACAGAGCTCCACCTGCCTCTGCCTCCTGAGTGCTGGGATTAAAGGCGTGTGCCACCACCGCCCGGCTTCCGGCTTTTTTTAATTTGTGTTTTGGAATGGGTGGTCTAATCCTTTGGTTCTCCTCGAACTAGAAGATACTTTTGTCAGTTACAATGTATCATCATCAGAACAAACACGACAGACTCAGCAGCCTCAGTCTGGGAAGGGAGTGATACCATAGCCAAGCATCATTCTCTGCGGAGCTAAAATATTTAACAATCCTTTTAGAAGCCAAGAAGCCATATGTCTACCCATCAGCAGTGAAGGAAGAGGACTTTATATTTATGCCAAACCCTTTTTAGTCTCCTTTGCTCTTCCTTCTTTTGACCCCAATATCAGTCCAGTAACAATAAATTCCCTTTTAGAATTTTCTACTGAAGGCCAGGCAGTGGTGGCTCACGCCTTTAATCCCAGCACTTGGGAGGCAGAACCAGGCAGATTTCTATAAATTCGAGACCATCCCGGTCTACAAGAGCTTGTTTCAGGACAGGCTCCAAAGCTACAGAGAAACCCTGTGTTAAAAAACCAAAAGAAAAGAAAAAGAAAACAAAAAAGGAAAAAGAAAAGAAAGAAAAGAAAAAGTAAAAAGAAATTTCTACTGGATTGTTGTAGTCACAAAATAGTAATTGGCACAGTAAATGTGTGCTGGCTAAAAGAGACAGAAGGAGCCAAATGCAGAGGTACAACATTGACGGAAGGTCCAGAATAAAGTTCCATGTCAGAGTGGACGAAAAGAGGCATTGGGGAGCAACCTGTGCCTACTCTGCTACCTTATCTTAGATAAAGGACCTTAAACCGGGCAGTGGTGGTGCATGCCTTTAATCCCAGCACTCGGGAGGCAGAGGCAGGAGGATCTCTATGAGCTCGAGGCCAGCCTGGTCTACAGAGCTAGTTCCAGTGACACCCCTGGGCAGGTTGCACTGGGTTGTATAAGCAGCTGAGCAAGTCAGGTGGAGCAAGCCAGGAAGTAGCCTTCTTCCATGGTTCTGCCTCCGTTCTTGCCCCGACTTTCTTTCATGATGGATTGTGGTATAGAAGTGGTTTTGGTCATGGTGTTTTACCACACCAATCGTAACCCTAACTAAGATACAAAATGGTCCACATGTAAGAAGATTGAAGCCTGAAATCGCAAATAAGCCTCCAGAGGGTAAGGTTTAGTGCTACGTACGGGATAAACAGGATGGTCTGAGGCCTGGTGGGAAAACACAGGGAAGCACTCAGCAGACTGTTCATGTGTCGACACTTCAGAGCATTTCATAGGACCCTTGTTTATGAATGCAGCCTTGGTGAGTAAGGGTTTTTTGTTTGTTTGTTTGTTTGTTTGTTTGGCCTTCTGATGTCAGAAGACCACCTATGGGATGGTTACACTGCCCAAGTGGAGGAACAATGCTTTTAATGTGTTTGGGTTCCTAAAAGACAACTCAAATGACCATTACAAAGTGTGTAGAGTCCGTGGTGGTGATGCAATAACCTTAATCCCAGTACTCAGGAGGCAGAGGCAGGTGGACCTCTGTGAATTCAGCGAGGTTACAGAGCTAGTGCCAGGACAGGCTCCAAAGGTACATAGAGAAACCCTGTCTGGAAAAAAAAAAACAACAATAACAAAAAACAAAGTGTGCAGAAACATACTGCTCAGCTGAGCAACCTCTAAATCAATGTGTTTACTCAGCCTTTCCCTTGGCTTTAACTTTTAAAGTTTCCTCTCAGCAGTTTTCAACTCATAATTTCTAACATGCGATGTATTATGATTCTTTATATCTCTTAATAGCATAACATGCTTTCATTATGAAATATTTACATTTTTCATACATTCTTAATATTCCAATTATGTAAATATATCTAAATTCAGTAAATCCTGTTGCTCAGTAGTTAGATTATTTGTATGCCTTTTGTTTTGTTTTTGTTGTTTCCATTTGTATTTCTAGGAGTTGGACCCAGAACTTCACGCGGGGAGGCACACATTCCACCAGCGGGGCACTCTAGCCTATATTCAGTACCTTAAATGAGGATACAAATGAACATATCTTGTGCTCTGTGGAAAACTTTGTATTCGGGTGTTTCTGTTGACCTAGGTTTTCGAGTTAGAGCACCAGAGTTAGAAGTACCCTGCGGAGCTCTGGGGTTTTTGCATCAAACCAGGTGCTGCACTGTGTGGAGGACCTAGGGTATTGCAACACCAAGGAAGGAAGCAGGTGACCAAGGCCCAGGGCTCCTAATGCCCAGGTGGATGGTTACTGGGCAACAAGCAGGGAAGGGCAGCAGGTGCACACAGAACACTGGTAGTGGCAGGGGAGGGGAGGGGAGTTGGAGAGGGTTGCAGGTAGGTCAGACCGAGGTCTAAAAGGAATCACTGCAGCAGTTAAGGACAGTGATCTGCCCAGGTGGCTGCAGGTGCCAGGGTGCCAGGGAACCCCAAGAAAGCTGGGTTTTGTACAAAGGTCCAGGAGGAAACCCAAGGCAATTTGATCTAAGTTGAGAAGGTGGGGACAACAGACAGAGGAATCTGGTTTATCCTCAGCCCTGAAGTTTAGGTGACTTGAGGGGGAAAAAATATAAACACAGAACATAAATGGATATAGTGGGTGGGAAAGTCTCTTGTAAATTAAAACTTTAGTTAAAAGTGTGTCTGGTGTCCCCCGAGCAGCCACGGGGTCCTTTACAAGTAGCAGTGACTAGCTATTGGGGTGACTCTATGGGAGTGATTGGGAGGTCAGCTGGAGCTGTGAGTTGATGCACACAGCACAGCACATGGATCTACCCTCATAGTCAGTTCCACGGGCAATACAAAGCTATTACCAGTAACCTGGGGTATCTTCAGGCTCTCGGCATCTTATTGGAGGAACTGAAATAAGCACACACATTATAAGCCAGGTAATTTTATTCAAAGCAAAGCGATAGTACAGGTCAGATATGCTGTCAAGCGTGACTGCGGGCCATAGGAATAGGTTGTTGCCTCCAGGCTTCTTCTATGGAGACTGACGGAAGGAGGGGATACTATTGGCTTAGTTTGTGTGGTTCTCTATTTTGAAGGGCAGGCTTGGAATACATAAACCCCTTGTCCAGTGCACATGTCTCTTCCTGTAATGCATCTTGCTTTAATAACATGCATGCCCAACTATGCATAGGTACAAAATGGTAAATATGGAATTCTCCCTAAACGTTCACCTACAGAACAGTTTGCCTTCAAAGCACATGTATCCCAAGTCAGTGAACACCAAATCAGCCTCCCTAGTCTCACACTGAATGTTAGGAAGGAGAAACTTACTCCGCTTTTCAGAGTGGCATGTACGTGCATCTCAACGAAGGTGGGGGTCCTAGGTGGGTAACAAGTTACTAGATACATTGTTTTGAAGAGGGATGTATGTGCATAGTGCATGCAGGTAAGGATCCCAGGCTGCCAAGTGCATTGTTAGAAGAGAGATGAGGCTCAAACCAAGTGGAGTCCCAGGTTGCTAATCTATTCCCTATGCTTGCTGGCCTTAAAGCCAGAAGAACCCAGGACAGAGCAGGGCTTGAGGGGCAGCTGGAGAGGTAGGAGGAAACAGCAAGGAAAGGCCACCAAGCATGTCCCACAACTGTCCTAATCGCTAGGCAGAAGGAAAGACATTAACCATGTGAAGAACCAAAGAGACCTGTTGGAGGGTCCTGGGAGGGGGCCAGGCCCTGGGAGGGATACAGGTCACCAAGGACACAGAACTGGAAGTGAAATGGTCGGAGGTCATGCCTCCATCACCAAGCACAGGTCTCAGGTACGGGTTTCACGCCACTCCCAAGCGGCTGTCTGCCTCTTTATAGCATTGCTAAGTAGCAGAAAGGGATTTACAAATCTTCTTGAATGTGTGGGACGTCCCGGCATCCTAGCTAAAAGGTGACAACTCCACAGTCTTCGTCCCTGATCTTCACACAGATTGTGAATAGTTTTTCGTTTGTTGACACACTGAAGTAACATTTAAGTCAAGATGATTTTGATGGTTACTGTTCTTTGTGGAGACAGGATCACAACACATCCTGTCCCAGCCTCCAGTGTCCTTGGATTGTAAGTATGTGCTGCCATGGCCAGCTGAGAGTTGATGTTTATGTAGCAAACGGTCAAGACCATCCCTTTGATCACTGCTTCATTCAGAACCTTCACCCGGGATCTTGCTACAGTACTGCTAGAGATCAGAGGGCACAGACCTACCCACAGGGGCTACCAACTGTCATACTGACACTCCTCTGGAGTTGGAGTCACTTAGAAGTCCCAGGAAAGAATCTCGGTGAGGATCTATAATCACCTACAGGCTACAGACATTTTTTTTTTTTTTTTTTAAAAAAAAAAAAAGCCATCTACTTTCTTCTTTCTGAGTAAGACTTTTAAAAAATATCAGTTTTAAGACCCACAGGCATCTTTTCTCAAGTTGTTCATGGCACACACACACACAAACACACAACACCCCCCCACACACACACACACAATGATCTGGATCATGCCTCTCCTCGTACCCCAATGGGAAAGACACAGAGTCTGTGGCCAGTGCCTCCTTTAAGGCCTTGGCTATCTCTGTAGGAAATGAAGTGTGTTTGGCGAAGACATCTGTGAAGACTCCCTGACACCACCTCCAACACAGCTCTAACACAGCGTGCAGTGACCCACCCTCAGCAGGACTTCAGGATGTGCTGAAGGCATCTCCCAGTTCCCATAACCCCCTCACCCTGGGCCCTCTGTTTCCATTTGCCATGGGCACTTAGGCCCTCCACCTGGGCACCACTTTAAAAACAGCCAGGGTCACACCAAGCAGAGTTTATTGAGGCTGTGGGCGGGGCCCACGTACACAGCAGGTGGCGTACGCAGGGCAGATACTCACTCGCTGGACTGCAGGGGTGTTAGCGGCAAAGCAGATGACCTGTTGGGAGCACCCTTTAGGGTGCCCTCCTCCTAGCAGCATTGGGGGCTTTGGGTGAGCATCAAGAACCACCTCGTTGCCCGAAGGTTCTCTTAGAAACCCCTCCCTCTTTCCCCTGAGCTCCTGTGGGTGGGGGCTAGGGTCCCTTCCTGCGATCAGAGACGGGATGATCCCTTGAGATTCACTATAAAAATTAAAATTCATTTATAAATCACAGGAGACGGGCGGGAGGGAACCATGGGGGACCTGACTTCATCAGTTACCTTGAGCCTACTCCCCTCCCTCAAGTTCCACCTCCAAAAGAGAGAGCAAAGAGCGAGGTCTACAGGCACAGAAAGAGGTTGGGGAGACAGAGGGAAGGCAGTTGGAGGAACGGGACAAAGGAAGATAAGAGAGAAAAGATGCTTCAGAAGAAAAGTATGGCTGCTGAGGCTCCTCTCCCCAACAGCTCCCGAAAGCCATGACCTGGGGATAAAGGATAAGAGTTCCCAGCCCGGAGACTCCCACAATGTAAGGTTCCAAATGTCCCCCAATCCAGTCCTTGCTCAAGCCACGGTGGCCTTGAGATACCCAGAGCTGTGTCGACGGGAGCTGAGGGAGGTGGGCGCTACTCCAGGCTACTCCAGGTAGATGTCCTCTGTGGGGCAGGCAAATGCCAGGTGCTCCTGGTAGTACTCCAGGAAGGCCCGGCTGCGGAGAGGGAGGGGACCGAGCTCAGCCCAGAGCTCCTCCTACTTTACTGAAGACGCACTACTGTCTTCACTAGCCACCATGCATGTCCACACAGCATCCTTACTAGCGACCTGTACCCATGCCTCTCCCATGCACCAGAGCCCTTCCGTGCCCCATATCCTCCCTCCCGGGGCTCCGGCTCCATCTTCCCACTCACCCCACGCTCTGCGCCACTGGTCTCATAGACTCCTGGGACACAAAGACATGGCAGGCAAAGCGGCTTAGCAGCGGGTGTTTGGTGATGAAGCCAAAATAGCTGGGGAGACGTTGACAAAGGAGGTGTCAGGGCACTGGCCTAGCCCTGGGCACGCCATTAGTACTCAGAGCAACTGCGATCCAGGTGAGCAGCTTGAGACTCCAGATCCCACCCCACCCCAAACTGTGACCAGTCAGATGCACTGCCCCGTATCTAGCAGATGCTAATAAAGCATTTATATTAATTCACACATGTTAGCCATGTGAGGTAGATGTACCATAGTAACTAAGCATACAGGGCATTAGTGTCTTGCCAAAGGGTACACAGTCAGTCCGTGGCAGCACTGTGGTAAGGGAGGCAGTCTGTGATCTTAATACCTAATACCCCACATCCCTAACCTTATACAAACATGGCACACTCAGTTCCTTACTCCTCAGCCAACACCTTAGCCACAGTCATGCAAATCAACCATCCACCCATTCCAATCTTCCTTACAGTGGGACCAGGATGGATTCTGATTCACTCCTGTAGAACTGCAGCTGGATCAGTGTCTAGACTGACTGGCATGAATTGGGCACCATATCAGGGCAGGTGGAGCCCTGAGGGTGGGCGGGGATCGGAGACCAGGTGACCCTCGGCCTTTGAAGGAATGTAGGAAGAACAGGGAAGTCCTTACCAGCTGTTTCGGGGATGGCAGCCGCAGAAGGAGATGTTCTTCATCTGGAAGAAGTGGCTGCAACGCTGGAACTAGAGCAGAGGTGAACAGAATCATCCCACATTGGCTAAGACAAGCCTGAGACCACGCCCACTACACGCCTCCTCGCCGTCCCCGCCCCACCTTTTTCCTGTGCTTTAAGGGCTCCACCGCTGCCACCTCCAAGCCTCCCCCTGGTCCCCAGCCTATCACACTCCCACCTCAGGTCCTCCTCCACTCAGACTCAGCTTGACCCCCCGCAGAGAGATCTCAAGGTCACAAGAGGCAGGAGGGCGCAGGTGGACGGTTAGCTTCCGGGCTGTGGCAATCTGAGGGAGAAGTTAGAGGTGAAGGGAGGGTCTTGAGGAACCCATCAAGGGCTCTCTTGCTCTCTCTTCTCTCTCTCTCTCTCTCTCTCTCTCTCTCTCTCTCTCTCTCTCTCT